TGCAGATAAATCTACAAGCTTTATCTTTGTGTGATTATTTTCTAAACTTTTTAAATAAAAATATAAATTCAATCTTGCGAATGCAAATAGAATTAAAATTGAGGAAAAATATAAGATGGAAACATAAGAGCAAGAAAGTGGAATAAATCTAGCAAAGAACAAAGCTAACTCATACGTAGCAAAACAAATATATAAAACCAAAAGAGCCTACCTACTTAAATCATACAATCATTAAATCATACAATCATTAAATCATACAAATCATACGTCAAGCTCGACGCAGAAGTATATTCCGTCGTGAGGACGATAGCAATATAAAAGCAGTCAAGGTAGGCTTGTCTCCTCTGAATCACGCGAGGCGAGGTTTACCACGAACAAGAATGAACGTCCCATTTATGGAGTCCGCGGGAGTCTCGAAATAGCTCAATAGACACGGAGCAAACATACCAACTGGAAGCGACCAACGAACGAAACTCAAGAGAAGATTGCGTCGATCGATCGGTTGACGGCAGACCGGCACGGCACACGCAGCTTCCTCGAAAAGACAAACTTAGTTCTCTCGGAAATCGATTAGCCACCTGGGCAGGCAGGCGGCATGAACTGGAGCCCATCACGTCAAGGAACAGAGCCTCGGTGGACGTCATCAAGTCCAAGTGACGTATCTTGACCGGCAGACGTCAAGGTATGAGCTACTAATAAATAGATTCCTCGAATCATGGGCTGTCAGGGTTTGATTAATCTACGGTAATAATCTTATGGTCAATCAAACCATATAATACGTTTTAAAATATATGGTCGATCAATCATTTATATAAAGCACACGTGGCTTATCGTATCGGGCACGCAACGACCTCCAAGAATATTTATAGGCTAGGGAGTGACACGTCATAAACAGCCCCAGTCGAATCGTCATCGTTGGTCGGTGACGTGCAAGGCAAGGCGGAAGCTCAAGCTGTGTAGGCATGAGGCAGGCGGGCTGCTGTGAACGCGGTAACTCAGGCAAGGAAGATGAAGAATGTCATACAAGAGTGACGTTGACTACACGCAATGCGGAGTCATTGATTGTAACCCTTAAAACACAAACCGTGACCGATATGATTTCTATAACGGGAGTTTACCTGGCAAGCAACTTCGGAATCAAAGAGGCAATGAAAATGAATTGGTTAATATTGACCTGAAACAACTCTTGTTAATCAACGTTGAACGCATATCATAACCTTGAAATGGAGCAATTATGTCATCTCGGTACCATTCCAAGTTCGGGGTACACGGACGATTTCTTTTCGAAAAAATAATAAAATAAACGAAAGTAATTAACTTATAAACATAAATGTAATACATTAGTAAGAAATTTGGATTTTTTGAGCCGTAGGGATCCTTCAAGAGCCCTAATAGTTCGAATTCAAGTTCGAAAATATGAAATTCTCATTTTCACATTCGGCATAAAAAATCAGAATCGTAAATCATGCTGAATGAAATATTTGTGACCCTGGAAATCGACACAGGAAAATGTACATCGATCATAAAACCGCCAACCCGCAAAATTACCGCAAAAGGTTGAGGAAAATCCTGAGCTGCGGGCTAAGTCGCGCGCTCCATAGGTGACGTCAGCAATGGAACGGGGATTGGCGAGCTGACGAGAATTTTTCTGTGACGAAGGTCGATCTTCCTGCATCCTGCATACGGGATCTCACTAACACCGATCTGGGAGCTGCTGGAATGTTAGAACCACCGTTGGTCGAGCTCCGGTATCCTGATAATCTCTCCGGTATTACCGTTCATCTATCCGGTATTGCTACTGTTCATCTCCTTCCTCGAACGGTTTACGCATATGAATAATTCTCGTCTACGATGTACTTCTAGGCCAAAAATTGCCGTTCAGCTCAGGGCGATATTGGAGGAAGAGCGCAAGGACGCGCAACGTGTAAATTAAGCCCAGTCAGCTTAATTTAGTGCGATTGAAACTGGTAGAAAATGATTAGATCGCGAGACAGAATGCTAAATTAAAGTTTCTATTCACACAATTACTTTCCATTGTACATGGTATGTTTCCTCGTACCATACGAAGTTAAACTAATCTGCTTGAAGAGTATAAACAGAACAAAACGGATTAAGTTCCTCTGAGACATATTTAATAGGAAAAGGAAGTACAGAAAATAATACGACTAAAACACAGACTTTCAATAAATTCAATCAGTAAGGCACACGTGTTCGTAGAATTCATCGCACACATAGTAGACACCAACACACAAATAATCATTTATTCCATTGATCAAAATTTCTGAGGATATAAAATTTCAAAATTTAGGCTAAATAGCATTCTCAGCTAGAATCGTATAATAATGCGATAGCTGGCATCTGATCCTATAACTAATCGTTGATTGGTTGTGGCGTTGCCTGGTTCGCAGCACTGGCATGCTGGGTAGGATGGAGCGAGATGGGGAGGGGGTCTCGTAGGTTGGAGCTCAGAGATTTGAGATGGAAATGAATGTAACCACTAAGCCTGTGATTTCACCTGATTATTTCCGCAAAATGATAAAAAGTGCATTGTAGATGCAAGATTAATAATCTTTTCTGAGCAAGATCGCGCCCAGTTCAAACCAGAGCAAATCAAATCAGGCTGCGGTCTTTGGCGCCTTTACTCACAGGCAGCACAGACACAGCTGGTGCAAATGTAACTGATACGGCCATGTCATAACGTTTTATTTATAAACGGTTGAATAATTTTTTTTAGGTGCCATGAGAATTGTTTTTACACCCTCTATTTTCTTGCAAAATGGATTAAAAACATGCTCGAGATTCACCGGAACAGAAGCTGCCAGAAAATTGGACAGTTGTCCGTCAGAGATGCGTGAAGCGGTCCCTAGAAGCTCAATATTATTGCGCAATATTTTGAGTGTCTAGGGGCTGCTTAATTAAACTTAATGATATGTTAAGTAGAGAACGGCGATAAGTTGACAGGCCGAATATACCGTTTTGGGACCGGACTCAGTTTCGTAGACACAACTAAAACACAACGGAAAATGCAGGAAAATAGGTACGATTGCTGGAATATTGGAAAATACTACGGAAAATGCAGGAAAATAGGTACGATTGCTGGAATTAGAATCGGGTGCTTGGCTGCGTGCTGACCTCCGGCCAGTCCTTTAGATCGGTCATTCACGCGGCATAAAATAGCTTTTACTAGCGTCAAAAAAAAAAAATAAAAGTTCACGTCACATTCGGCACTCGGCAGGTAACAAAAATGTTCAAATTATAAGAATGCACAACAATCCTAAAAGACTACAACATTCAGTTATACACGTCAACATAATAAAAGAAAACAGAAACAATGTACAAAAACATTCGGCACGTTCACTTTTGCCTTCCCACCCTCTCCTTTTTCAGCCCTACACTCCTCTTACCATCCCTGGACATTCGTTTTTGTGATGTGAAGTCGACTCACTCGACTGGCGAAATCATTTAAGGGGGAAATTTGATTTGGATTGGATTTAATATGGCAGCCTGGACTACTGCTGGTGTTATTAATCTTAAAAAAAATTACCAATACAACGAAGGAAATATTCTTTAAATTAAACAAATGAAGAACAGTATACCTAATTAAACAGAACATAGACTTAGTTCTATCATAATCATTTGACAATAAAAAACATATTGCACGCACTACTAAAATTTTACCAACACGATATATAAAAGAAAAAAAATATGATTGATTTACAAGCCTTACAATACAAGAAATACAATTAATTCTATCACTAGTTCAGGAATATAATTAACTCAACAAAATCCCAGCCAGAATTTCTCACCTCGACTAGATTGAAGATACCAAGGCGTAGATTAAACAGACGAAATAAATGCTTGTGGGTGTTGACAAGTCGAGGTATTGAAGTACCTCATAACATATACGTTGAAGTGGTCAGCAGTACTGCAGTTGATGAGTTAGCCTATCAATCATGAGTAACACCTAAATTGTAGGAGGATTTGCAGATCAATTTTAGGTATAACGTCCTGCTACGATCCAACGCAATCAAGGCACCACCGATTACAACTTCGGTAGGTACGCTCCTAAGAAAGTATCCGCAGTCCAAATAGGTTTCTATTACCATGGAAGACAGAAATATGTGATATTCAAAGAGAACGGCGATAAGTTGACAGGCCGAATATACCGTTTTGGGACCGGACTCAGTTTCGTAGACACAACTAAAACACAACGGAAAATGCAGGAAAATAGGTACGATTGCTGGAATATTGGAAAATACTACGGAAAATGCAGGAAAATAGGTACGATTGCTGGAATTAGAATCGGGTGCTTGGCTGCGTGCTGACCTCCGGCCAGTCCTTTAGATCGGTCATTCACGCGGCATAAAATAGCTTTTACTAGCGTCAAAAAAAAAAAATAAAAGTTCACGTCACATTCGGCACTCGGCAGGTAACAAAAATGTTCAAATTATAAGAATGCACAAGAATCCTAAAAGACTAAAACATTCAGTTATACACGTCAACATAATAAAAGAAAACAGAAACAATGTACAAAAACATTCGGCACGTTCACTTTTGCCTTCCCACCCTCTCCTTTTTCAGCCCTACACTCCTCTTACCATCCCTGGACATTCGTTTTTGTGATGTGAAGTCGACTCACTCGACTGGCGAAATCATTTAAGGGGGAAATTTGATTTGGATTGGATTTAATATGGCAGCCTGGACTACTGCTGGTGTTATTAATCTTAAAAAAAATTACCAATACAACGAAGGAAATATTCTTTAAATTAAACAAATGAAGAACAGTATACCTAATTAAACAGAACATAGACTTAGTTCTATCATAATCATTTGACAATAAAAAACATATTGCACGCACTACTAAAATTTTACCAACACGATATATAAAAGAAAAAAAATATGATTGATTTACAAGCCTTACAATACAAGAAATACAATTAATTCTTTCACTAGTTCAGGAATGTAATTAACTCAACAAAATCCCAGCCAGAATTTCTCACCTCGACTAAATTGAAGATACCAAGGCGTAGATTAAACAGACGAAATAAATGCTTGTGGGTGTTATTACGTGTTAACAAGTCGAGGTATTGAAGTACCTCATAACATATACGTTGAAGTGGTCAGCAGTACTGCAGTTGATGAGTTAGCCTATCAATCATGAGTAACACCTAAATTGTAGGAGGATTTGCAGATCAATTTTAGGTATAACGTCCTGCTACGATCCAACGCAATCAAGGCACCACCGATTACAACTTCGGTAGGTACGCTCCTAAGAAAGTATCCGCAGTCCAAATAGGTTTCTATTACCATGGAAGACAGAAATATGTGATATTCACAGTACACGAGTTCACATTACACAAATAAAAAGCTCCTGCATTGCAAGCTATTCCCGCAATGCCAGAAGTGACGTCGTTTAGTAGGGGGTTTCACCCGGACTGCACTGTTGAAGTTACGGAACCCACACTATGATCCTACAAACGACCATTGCACGGCAATAATTCTTCAAAGTGGACGAACTTTTTCCTATACATATATTTCAGTTAATTTCGGCATTAAATTGACGCTATATAATCCATAGAGCAGGTAAAGATCTCAATGAAGCAAGCAATGAACATAATGAAGAGGCCACTGTTGACCACACCACACCGCTCTACGGCCTCAATGACACTGAAGTGGATTCTCGCGCCTCGCGGCTCGCCCTCACTTCCCGAAAATTTCCTCCAGCCGTTATCGTACGTCTGGCGTCCTCGTGACATCTAGCCAGAAATAACTGTGTTCTCCTGAATAATGCAACTTGGAATTCAATACATGTACACAAATATACATATTTATATCTTGGCAAGCACAAATAGTTTTTTGGCAATAGATTATGTTTCTTAGATCTGATTTTTGAAGGTAAGGATACAAACTAGCCAAGACGTTGTAGATTTTGCAATAAAACTTTTTTTAAGATTCCACACAAGGCTAAGGAACCACATGCTTATTTAATGCGCAATAGTCCAAATATGTGTATTGTCCTATTTAATGTTTAACTTATTTTATGTAAGGATATTTTATTATTTAATGTTTAATTGTAGGTTAACATTTTACTGTCAAAGTAACGTCAACAAGCTGAATATAAAAATTAGTTGATCTCAAGTGAATTCGACTAATTAAATTAGACTAACACCCATAATCTAATTCCATTTGCCTGCCTATATAACTCGAATCAATGTATATTAGTTTAGATGTATTTCGATTTTACGACTGTTTTTGACTACAGCCGCGGCTTTAACAGTAGTGCCAAAATCATTTGTATCATCACTGATGAGCTGCGAACTCTTGTAGATAACATTGAACAATAAACGCATGTGTGCACTGGAGAGCGGCGAACTCTTGTGAACACTGAACATCAATCGTGCTTGTGCTGGAAAGTGACGAACACGAACTCATGTGAACATTGGAACATGAAATGCACGTCTACTGGTAAGTGGCAAACTCGTGTGTATAACGGAATTACCACACAACGTGGCCCCATTCTTTCACTGATGGGTGTAAGTCTCGAAAGCGTTGCCGTAACTTCTGCTAGCAAAGTTCAGGCCAACCAAAAAGGCATCTGGAGCGATAAAATCGCTGTTGTCTGGACGAAGGAGGCTCATGAGAAAATTACTATGGCCTTAATAAAATCTAGGAATTGGTCCTATTTCATGTCGTTTCTAGGAACCCTTTGAGAAACTCGTCTAACTCTAGGCCTAAACTTCACATTGAGAATGTACAGCGCCTACAAAAAATTGTCTGCTCTCTTTGCAGATAAAATGATTGCGCGTACAAAAATTCTGGATAAATTCCACAGTTCTAGTAACAATGCATGATCAATGAAGGAATTTTCTTGAGGTCAGTCAAGCACAAATTTTTATTTGAACTTGTAATAAAATATTGTCTAGCCTGTTTAAGTGCACCTTATTATCAACTTTCTTATAGCCTTCATTTCAGAAGAAAATTGTTTGTTTCACCTTGCCGAAAAGTACTGTCCAGTACCTACCGCAGTTCCTGAAATTGAGGCAACCCTAAGAACTGGGGGCACGGTTTGATTCATATCTCAGAGAAAATACTGCGGAAGCCACGAATATTTTTACCTAAATATGGAAGGCTCATTACCACGTAGCAGCACTGAGGTAGTCTCAGTTCAGAGAAAGGTAGAATCTGGATTCTGTTCGATGTACTGTCGAGAACCGTAAAATACGAAAGTGGAGCTGAGCCATCATTTTGAAATTCACATGGGATGTGAATTTTCATATTATTTAATTAACATACTTTTTAATAGATGTTTACTCAAATGCATTTGTATGCAAGTATATCCCGAGTTGCATTCGAAAATCTCTTAGCGAATCGTACTTCAAAAAGTCAATGTTGCTGAATGAATTGAGTGATCTTTTGTAGAGGCGTCTTTTCTTTAATCTATTCTAAAATTATCACATCACTTCCCTTCTATCAATATGACTGTAGATATTTTTCAGGTACAACAATTTTGGCAAGTATTACCTTCACAAACTCGAGAATAGACTCACGTGTTTATCTAACCTTACGCGACACATTTCCCACGATCCGAATGAAGCAAAAAAAATAAATTCTTGGCAACGGCCTCAACGGAAGCACAGCATCTTATTTTCATGATGACACTGAGTCACTCCGACGCGATATTTCCGAGAAAATTCGCCATGAATTATTTAAAATATGCACGAAAAAATATATAGTTATTATCATATATGTGAGAGTCGGTTGGACAAGCTAATATGGATGCATGGTGATAACTTATGGAAATACCGTTAAGTATTAATTAATTTAAGTATTGAGTTTAAGTATTCTTTTAATTTCAAGTATTAATTGCGTTTACACATTACCCATAAGGCAAGTTTTGAGAAGTCGTTTATCGTTCCGGTCGGTCTGCAGAGACAACGCATATGTAGCCTTCAGATCATTCATCCATTTGCTGCCAAACTCGCATAATCTGACGAATATGTATGAAATGTGAAATTAGTGTAGTTTGGCAGAAGCTGTTTTTTAATGCAGGTTTCGTTGAAGACCAGAGAGTATTTCTTATTGACAATTTTCTTATTATTTTTCTCGATTCGAGAAAATTCGCCGAATCGAGAAAAATAATAAGAAAATTGTCAATAAGAAATACTCTCTGGTCTTCAACGAAACCTGAAATGTGAAATATGTACGTGAAATATGTAAATAAAAATATGTAATGCTCATTCTTTTATCTGTCATATTATTCAGGAAAAAACTGTATTGTTTTATAAACTGAAACTGAGAGTGTGAGAATCACCTGAGAAGTGCAGTTTGAAAATGAATAAATAATTAGTACAAATAATGATATTTATGTTCTCCATTTTAATGCCCTGATTATAATATTCCCTCAGTTGGAAAAATTGTTAGCTGACCACGCTTAGACCTACACGAGTCACGAATGTCACGAATCCAATTCAGTGGCATTCAAATCAGTACATATTTTTTAAATGATGCATCTGAAATAAATACCTTGACAATTACAATTCGTTCACTTATAGTTGTTGCCACTGAGTCAAATTTGCCTAGCTGTTGCTGCAGTTATTCCACACACCAATTGAAAAAAATTAAAACGAAAGCCAGCGATGCATTCGATTACCCTGAAAATTGCAAAATATAAAATTCCAAGCATATTTTGTATATAAAATTTACCAAATATGTCTTGAAAAATAACATTTTGAGTGCAAAACAGAATCTCGTTCGTCAACTTGGTAACTAGTGAGTATCTTCGAATTGTTTCACACTTCGGTTGACGAATAACCTGTTTTTAATTGAGTTGTACGAATCTAATAATTGTAAATTAATCTTTTACGAATCAAATAATCCAATATTTACTTCACCGGTAAAGCGCCTATTACTTACTACAGAACCTCCAAGTTAATTAGAAACCCTAGACTACAATTACTGGCGCAGTGCCAAAGCTTCCACAAAAAATATCGCAACCGATGTGAAGTTCACGGAAATTCTCATTTGCTGTCTTTACGTTTGAGGAACCCGCCAGCACCTGATAAAAGGGCGCACCTTTATTGAATGAATCTATTTTAATGTAGCCCACGCATTGATAAACATTCCTCGAGATCAAGCATTCTTCGCTCGCTCTCCCCCCTTGTCAGCCACCAATGCTAGGATCTTCAATGAACGGCGCTGCGAGACAAGCAATATGGCGTCATCGGTGTCGTCATTTCTCAGCTATCTTATTGGCTGAAGTCGAGTAGTTTGCGTTCATGGATGCGTGTGACGTACATTTAGCTGCGACAAAGTGCCTCAGAGAGCACACATATAAGAAAAGATCACGTGATTTACTAGAAGATTCTCAGTACCGAGATTAACGAGCACTCTTTCTAGTTAGTTCCTCCGTTGTTAATAATGTCGACTGCTTCAGTACTTGATTGATATATTGCAAGCGTTTTAAAATCCTGCAGGTCATCTCATATATTCATGAGTGTTTTAAAACAAAAAATGTTTTGTTTAAAATATACCTTAAATTTTTACTAGAACAATGGAAGAAACCTTTACTGCACGATTTTCATTTTTCAAGGAGGCCTCTAAACAAAAGTTTCAAAAGGAAAAGGAGCGTGATGCGTGACAGGTCTTGTATTTTACTGACCAACTACAACAAACTCATGCCCTATGATATTTCACTTTATACCTGATCAGAAAATATGACGTGGTATAAAAATTTAATTGTGTTATATAACTTAAACTCTGCCACTAAAGAGGAGGCTACGTATTGCACCACGGCTGCGGTTCTGCTGAAAGATCCTTGCGTAAATTTCTACGTACCTCATCCCACGCACTGTCCTGCTGCCCACGTGGTGGTTCTCACGAGTCCAGTGAACCCTGCTGCTGGTTCTCATGCGTCCTGTGAACCTTACTGCTGGTTCTCAAGAGTCCAGTGAACCCTGCTGCTGGTTCTCATGAGTCCAGGGAACCCTGCTGCTGGTTCTCATGCGTCATGTGAACCCTGCTGCTGGTTCTCATACGTCCTGTGAACCCTACTGCTGGTTCTCAAGAGTCCAGTGAACCCTGCTGCTGGTTCTCATGAGTCCAGGGAACCCTGCTGCTGGTTCTCATGCGTCATATGAACCCTGCTGCTGGTTCTCATACGTCCTGTGAACCCTACTGCTGGTTCTCAAGAGTCCAGTGAACCCTGCTGCTGGTTCTCATGAGTTCAGTGAACCCTGCTGCTGGTTTTCTCGAGTCCAGTGAACCCTGCTGCTGGTTCTCGTGAGTTCAGTGAAACCTCCTGCTGGTTTTCTTGAGTCCAGTGAACCCTGCTGCTGGTTCTCATGAGTGCAGTGAACCATACTGCTGGTTCTCATGCGTCCTGTGAACCCTGTTGCTGGTTCTCGTAAGTCTCGTGAACCTTTCCTACTGATTCTCATTAATTTTGAGAACCTCCGACAAACGCCAGGTTTCCACTCATCACCGCAGTTGTGGCAGCGATTGTTCACCTGAGGACTTGCATGACTCATTGCCCGCTATTGCATCAGCTTAGGCAAGACGCTAGAAAAAAAAAATATTTCTGGAGTTGCGTCCGTTTGTTACTGAGATTTAATCCTGAATAAGAAAGCACGTGTACTTATACATGAAAAAAT